CCCCAAAACCCCAAAACCCCAAAACCCCAAAACCCCAAAACCCCATGAAAATTTATAAAGCTTGGAATTATGTTAGTCTAAATTATAAAAAAATGGAAAGAAAAAGACAACTATACAAACTTATTGTTACGTCCTCTGATGAGAGCTACTCCTCCAAAGAGTCTTCCCCAGAAGTCAAGAAAGAGGAAATCTTCGAATTTGACGGCAGAGAGTTCTGCAAGCACATTGACCTTCATGACGATGAGAAAGAAGATCACTACAACTCCGTATGCTTAACGGAGAGTCCTTTCTTCTCCTCCATGAAATTGCCCATGATCATCGAGGAAGAGGCAGAGTCTGAGTACAACAAAGTAGTGCCAGACCTCAGCTTGAAAGATGATGAGGATGAAGATGAATCCCCATTCTTCGTAGTACCTTCCAATGAATCTTCCTTTGAGGATTCATGTGAGTACTCATCACTGATGAAAAAGCTCTGGAACAAGAGTAAATAAATCATTATCCCTAATCTGCATTGGTTCATGGTCAAGAGGAAGCAAAATCCATTACTGGGTTCCCTCTGGCTGTGTCTCACAAGCAGGGTCCTTTCATAACATTAATTCATTGATAAATTTTAAAAGTACATATCTCTCAAAGAGTAATAAGCTTTCAGGTTTGGGTTTTAACACTTTTTCACCGCTATCATAATAGCTCAATTTTTGGATTTAAAAGTGGGTGAAAACTTTAGAAATAATGTGAAGCCTCCATAACAACAGATTTCTAGAAGAATATGGATACGGCCAGCATTGCTTTAATGCTGAGACCACTAGGCCTTGATAGGTTAGTAACCATAGTGAGTAGGCTCCATAGTCACAACATATAGTAAAAGAGATACTGCTGGTGGTCGGCCATCTATCTTAACCCAGTGCAAATTTATAAGCAAATGCATGAAGTAAAGATACTCGCCTATATATCTGGCTGTACTAAAGCTACACATAAGGTTCTAGGATCACCTTTCTCAGTTATTTGAGTGCAGTCTGGTCAAGCTCAATTACTTCTGCTCCTAAAATAGATTCTCAGATGTACAAAGAACTTAGTCAAGAAAGCTATTAACTATAAGCAAAGATCTCCGTATGGTTATAATTGACGCACGTGCGAAATTTTCCTTAAGCTTAGATCAGTCTAGTTTGTTTTAACCCATGCACTAAAACCCGTGGGCTGTTGGGTACACCTTCTGCAGTCTTCCCATGAATCACTATTTTTATGTGATTGTTATATTCTGTCACCTTGCTGTTGGGAAGATCGCAAAATTTTGTTAAATATTGTATAAAATACCACAAGTGTTTGGAAGATATTTATAGCCTAAAAACCTCTTTAGCTGGAATTAAACATGCCTAGATGCTTTCAAATTCCTGATAAAATATTTCGATGGAAATATGAATTTTTCGAAACTTTGGTGAGTTTTGAAGTTTTTACGATATTTACTCAAATTTATCAGCAAAAAATCTGAAAAATGTTCAGAAATAGGTTAAGATACGTATGAACACTCCTTTGAACCACTTAACAGCATCTAGCTTCTTTCACAACCCCTAGATGGGCATTAAGAAAATGTTGCTTAAGATTAGCTTACAACGAAATTTTCGAAATCCAAATTTCAGCTTATGTAAAAACCTAGTTCTTTGTTTTAACACTTCTTGCTGGAATAAGCAACAGCAAGCCAGCACGATACCCTCTATGTGTGGATCCAAGTCCTTGTACCATCCTCAGGCTCTAGTGTCATCTAAAATTAGAGAAGGCTCTGGCTAGTTCAAATTATTTACACATGAAATATTTTAGTGGCTAAAAACCTCTCTGAGCCTCCTTTGAAGAATAGGATCATAACGAGACTCGTTCTCGAATGAGTACAAATCTGGTCATGAGTTTTTACTACTAATTTTAAAACCTTTAGATCAGCCTGATTACAAAGAGGTCTAATTAGCAAAAGAAGCAAGAGAGGTTGACTGGGTGACTTTAAGACCGAATCTTATTGAGCCTCAGGTGGTCTATAACCACTAGCATATGAAAGTAACTAAACAAGAAGGTTAAGTAAATATGTAATCAATGAAACTGTTTGCTCTGCAACAGCAGTTCAGCTCTAAAACAGAAAGATACTAATAATATAGGTTCAGAATGGCATGAAATAGTCTGATCCTACTCTTAAATACCCCATTGCTCCACTTCCATAAATTTTACTAACTTTGTAAAGAGTTTTTACGCTTTCAAGTTCATTGGCAAAAGCTGGGGTTTTGGGGTTTTGGGGTTTTGGGGTTTTGGGGTTTTGGGG